TTAATTATAGGCTTGTTTGCAGGAAGTTCAGCTTTCTAACAGCTACAGTTTTAAATATAACACAGTGATTAGAAACAGTTATTAAAGGGTTGGTGCCATTATTCCCCTTGAGTCTCTAAAGGAGAAATTGGAAATCCTATTTGAAAATGAAATATGACCACTAGAGGATGCAGTCAAGATCCTGAATGAGTGAGGCATTATGTTCCTCACTCATGCTCTGCAAGACCAGCCAGAAAATAGGACAAATACTTTCTGGAATATTTGGGTGAATATTCAGGCAGAATTTATCAACTAAGTAGTATAACTAGGATAACCCAGAAGTAAATCCACAAGACCTGCTCTTCGTTTGTTTGTTTTGTTTTTTTTTCCTTCTCTTGCATATTCTGTGGGTTTTACTTTATCTCCTTTTGTTAGTTGTTCTTCCTTTCCTTTTCTGTTGCCTGTCCATCCCTCCAATCCAGCCTTCCATAATCCTTTGCTAGTGGTTACCTTCTGATCCTGGTATGAATCCTGATCTCTGTCTGGTATGAATGAAGCCGTTCACTCTACCAGTTGAACCTGGGATACACCTGTACTGAACACTTATGGGTAACTTTGATTCAGCTGTTTATTGAACATATTGAATAACAAACCCCAATTAGTTCTTAAAATCTGTCTTTCATTCCGCATTTATTTACTTACTACTTTAGTCGATTGATCTATTCTTTCCCCATCCATCTGGCCCTCAGCCACAAACACTTGCTTAATCTTGCTTTCTCTCTCATAACCACAATTACTCACCCACAACTAGTAGATCATCCTTATTTAGGAAATTACTTGCAATTTGGAGAGGGCAAAAGGGATACCACCACCACCACCACCAAAATCTAGGACCAAAACAGGAACTACTGGCTGTTGATTGACATGTCAGTGGTGTAAAAAAAATAACAACCCACATCAGCCCTTGAAAATATCATGTCTCTTAAACAGACTTGAAGACACTTACAATGCTGCTCATCAGTAGGGAAACTTCTCTGATAAAACACGGGGAAAGGTCATTGATACACCCCTGTGTTTATCACAATGCATGTAAATCAAAGAATAGAAGATTGTTTCAACTCAGCTATGTCTTGTTTTAATTATTCAGTATTTTATTTCAAAAAATATTGTTTCTTTATACCTTCCTTTGGCTACAGTGGATGCGTTTGTTTCTTTATATTTGCATCTCAGTAAGTCAGGCTTTTCTAATTTGCGTATGATTATTCATCTAATTTTGCTGCTGGTATCTGCTATTCAGCTTTAGCTGAGGCCTGGATTTTGCAATAGATATCATCACACATCTTGACTTTATCGGGCTGGGGAAGAGCATAAGGGTCTTACGTCATGAAATTGGTATAGAATTGGGGCCTGAGAGTGTAGAGCAACATATTAAAATATATGACATAGAATATTTAATATACGATGTTGACTGATTAGCATTACCTCTGAAGCTTAACTTCTCCGTTTTCCCTTATTTTACAGTTTTAGTGCAGACTGCTAACCCCATTTTAGTGTTTAATTTTAAATCGGTTGTGAGGAAAAAAGGTTGATAGTGGCTAAACTCAAGAGATTCAACATCAAAAGAAATTTTCAACATTTGGACAAAATAAAACCAGGTGTGAATAAAATGTCATATTGCAATAGTAAGTGTTATTAAAGCCATTAAAGCACATTTGAATCCAGTCTTCTATTCATTTTCAAAGCTGACATTTGTAAATGTATATAGGCAGGACTCTTGTAAATTTAAAACAGAGCATTAGGACTTGCTCTGGAATTTGTAGCACCATCATGCTCTGTTTTATTGGTACATAATTATTCATAATTCTGTGTCTTTGAGCAGGGGCCATCATATTTTCCCATCTGAATAGTGTCTTTGTTGGTTAGCATATGAAATAAGAACAAAAATGTTACTAAAAAGAGATGTCTGTAGCATCTTGGCATAGGTATGTAGTGTCTTTGATAGCACACTTCGTTACATATCCTCAATATCTAATAAATGGTCTTAAGGAATTTTTTTTGTAATTTGCTAACTGCTTTTAAGCTAGACCTGTTGTGTTTCCATCTTGTCCCTTTGATAAATGTCACGACAGTGTGAATCTTAGACAGCCTTCCTGTAATTTTGAAGGGAAATAAGAGAAGTTGTATTATCATTTCTGTCTATGAAATTTATTTCTGAAGTGAATGCCATACATATTTCTGAAATGAATGCCAAATGTATTTTCTAGAAGTGAGTGCCATTGAAAGCCAAGGCAGGCAATTTATACCATGCATAATAATGATATTAATTTTTATGGTGTGTATAAGTTACATTTTGATTAGTTTTTTGCATGATTAAAAATTTGCAAAGCCTTTATGGCCCCCAGGAGCCTACCTGTAATAAACAGCTCTCACCTTCCAATCCATAAAACAGGTCTGCAGCACTTGAACATTAGAGCTAATTGCCTTGCTACATCAAAGGGAGCACCACAAGACTGAGAAAAATCACAGAAGCGGGGGTGGGGAGCGGGGGGCAGTTTCACCTCTAAAGGTTATGTGTTTGTGGCTTGGTGGAGCCCTGTAAAGTTATGGCCTCAGAACTGCTGTTTGCGATTAAGTTGATGAGGAAAGTCTATCCCGCAATCTCTCCCTGCTGCTGACACAGAGTCTTTGTTCACATTCAGATTTCTCAAACTGTTGCCAGGGTCAGGCTGAGGTCAGACACCACGATGATGTATAGGAGAACATGTCTGGGAATTTCTCTCACACTTAAAACACATACCAGAAAAACAGGAGAGCACCCTGCAAAAATTGTCTGATGAGACCCAGATGATACTGTAGCTTTTCTTTTAGTGCCTTCATAATTTTCTTTCTCTTTGCCTGACACACACACAATGTTTTATTAATGTGTGCCACGATAGCCCTTACAATTTTATGTCCCCTCAAGATAAGGACACTCAGTAGCACTTTGACACTTCATTTTCCAGCCCAGGGGGATTGGGCCAGTAAATCTAGTAAAAGAAGCAACGCGTCCGTTCCCAAGGATGAGTCGAAAAGGGATTGCCATCAGCTCCGTGAGGCCACGGGGCCTGACACAGGATCCGAGCTTCATGTGTGCGTGCTTGGCACTAACACGGCCCGAGCCAGGCATGATCACAGGCTCGCAGCATCCCGAACCATGCTCCCCCGCCACCCTGACAAGCATAGCCCTGCTTCCAGCTGCACTGGGGATACCTACCATGTTTGATTAGCTATCATCGCGGGAGGGGGTGGGGGGGCCGCAGGGGGAGCGCACTGAAACAGCACTGGGGAGGTTTGCATTCTAATGGAAATTGGGGGTTTTTATATGCAATTTTTTTTAAAAGAGGGGACCTCCTTTCTGTCGGTATTGTTCCCAAAAGTGGACATGCATGCTTAGTCCTAACCGATTGAATTTCGATGTCAATGCAAAACACATTGATCTGTGGGTGAGATTTCTTTTTTTTTTTTTTTTTTGGTTTGGTTTGGTTTCTGAAATTGCAGCTGTGTTTTTCTCTCTTATTTACAAAGGGTTTTGCAGAGAGTTGAGAATTGGATAGGTTCGCCACATCGATTTGAGGGGCTGTTTGCCTAGGCATACAGTTTCAGTGCATGGCTGGCAAGTAAGGCACTAAGCAGCAATTTTTTTGTGCTCAGCTGCTACATATGACAGAGGATATTTCATTCGGCTGTCAGAATGTTATTAATAAAACATGGGGTGCGAAGAGGGCCACTATTTCCCCTTTCAATCACTATAGCATTTACAATGAAAATTTTATGCAGTGTGTAATTTTCAGTTAATGCTTGACACTTAAAATGTCGGTAGCTGCATTTTGTATGGTTCCTGAAGGGTTAATTGTATCATGTTCCCTGCATAAAAGCTCTGCTTATCAAAAGTGAATAGAAGAGTGTATGCAAATGTGTGTCTGTGACCTTTTGCCTTTCCAGGGTTAATTTATATGGTCATTAAAGATTTTATGAAATTGAGCGGCCTGGTGCTTCGAATCCCATTTTACCTTCACCTCCTAATTTATATAATTCCTACCTGAACTGGGAAATATGATTTTTCTTTTTTGTGTGTGCTGCAATGAAAACAGCGTGCTGTGCTGTAGGGAGTTGCAAGTCTGGTTATCTGGCATTACTCAGATTGCTAAAAATTCATTAAAATGTGACATCAGCACAGTGAGAGACAAATGATCACAGGATGAAAAGGAACAGTGGGCCTTTCACAGATTAGTGCTACACAGCCCCAGCATAGAAACTAACTGCATAAACAGATTAATCCACCAGTAGCAGCATAGCTAAGATTTACCGAATAATTAAATGGGCTTGAGTTACTGTGAAGCTTTGCATGTAATCTAGCTGGTGTGAACATGTAAGTGAGGTGTGGGTAATGCTGCTTCCTCAGAAGCCATACACCAAGTTGCATCATTTATCCCGAATGGCTCCCCCTGGAGACAAAATTTGAGACTTCTCCCGCAAAGCCAGCGGTTTATATTTAATACAGTACCTAATACCTAATACTTACTTACTGCAATTAGCGGGATATTGCTGCACTAATAGGATTTATATTGCAATTCCTTTTTTTTTTTTCTTTTTCCTTTTTTTTTTGGCTTCAAGAGGCATTTTTACATGCGCTTGCTTTTGTTCCAGCCTGTGTGATATATGTGTGCATGCGTGTGCGTGTATTTTAACGCAAATCATTTCTAGCCAAAGCATATGAAATGACAGGCTTTAAAGCTGTCACACTGGTGGAAAGCGAGTACTCTGATAAAGATGTGGTCAGAATTTCTGGATAGATTTTGAAATATTGCAAATTATTCACAATTAATGTCCAACATCTTGAAAGTGCTGTTCTTTCCCTTTTCTTCCCTTCATCCTTCTTCCCTCTGTTTTGCCACCCTCTGTTAGTGCTGTTCTTATTATTTTTTAGCTGTTAAGTGGTCCCTGATTTTCTTTTCTAAGATCTTTTCTGTGCTTATCCACAGAAGAACAAGGTGAAGATACAGAAGTGTCTGCTAAAAGTACATCAGTGGCTGTGGCTGATGATAAAGACTCAAGTGAGAGAGACAATAGTGAAGGCAAAAAATCTAGTAAAGACTCTGGTAAGATGCTAGAATTTTGTTTTCCACCTTTTTTTTTTAACTTATGAAATGCTCTTTCATTTTAAACTGTCTGGACATTCCCACTACTATTCATTGCATGTGCATTTTGCATGTGATTTCTATCAGTAGCCTCCCATTGACCTATTTTTAATCATAACCATCTGACAGGATAGATGCGGATAAGTTGAAGAATATTACAGGACGACCAGTGAGATTATTTTTTAATCAAATCAGTTTGTGTGCTTGTAATTTTTTAAGCGCCTTTCATTAATCTTAGCTGTACTTGTGATTCCTCTGATGGCATATTAATTTTTCATAAGCATAGGATTAGGTACCACTTGAATTTTTCCTTCAATCAGGTTTTGCCCCCCTTTTAACCCAAAGAATGTAGGGGTTTTAGTTATTATTATTTTTTGCTCTTGCTCTCTGATCAGTTACTCCCAAGAATCTGGCCTCTTCCTGGGCATTTATTTGAGGCATTTTGAAAAAAATACACAAAATCCAGTGAAAAAGTTTGCAGATGATTCAGCCTAAGAAAGAGGAAATATCATTGAAAACGGATTATGGGTTGGGTAATTTTGATCTCCTGGAATAGACAAAGCCCAGTAATGTAAGCTACTGTCTTTGAAAACAAAACCCCTATGTCATGACATTTACTTGTGCACAAACAAACCCAGGGCCAGCATCTGGTGTAGATACCCAAGGCTTTTTCTCTGTTTGATTTGGCAAATATGTGACTTCATCCATGCTTTTTATGTATGAGATGGAAATCTATGGTCACAATGAATATTACATTGGCTACTTTTGCCGCACGCTATACCTAGTTACATTATGTTGGATTCACTGAAGCAGAAGAAGTGCTGAAACAGGTTGAAGCCTATTAGTTTCAGGTAGTCATATATCTTTTCCTTGTATGCCAATGACAGCAGCATACAAAGGAGGTTGTATTCTCCGTAAAGACATACAGTTGTAGAGAAAATATCATTTTACATATGAGTTTCTTTACATCCACATTCTCCTATATGGTAATTTGCTCTTTACATATTAAACATTTTTGGATTTATTTTCAAAAACAATACTATAGATGGCCCTTTCTATGCTGAATTAATTCAGAGGACTGACTTAAAGATTAAAGCTGCCTTTAAGTTTGCTTGTTGATGTGTTAAGGTCAGTACCCATCACAGTTTAGAACCTCAGCTGCTCTTCCGTCACTTTATTTTTTGAGATCAAGAGACTGAAGACAGGCCGATGATGACAAGGATGATGTCGAGCAAGGAACCGTGTTGTGGTTTAAAATATATATCCCCCTTGGCTGGCTCTCTGACTCAGAAACAACTGTCTGCCATGCACTAAGACCATGCTCCCAGGCTGACATAGGTCCTCCTGCACAGTCTCATCAGGGGCTCTCCTGGACGCTCACCAGGAAAGGGGTGACAGCCACCTGCAGCCTGCATTTCCTACCATGCACTCTGCCCAGGGGACACTGTGAATTGCTTCAGGGAGTTTATCAGCCCTCTCTTTTTCTTAGGCAGGCCCAGTTATAGTTGTTCAAGAAAGAATACGGTATTACAGCTCCAGCAAAAAAAAAAAAGATGGAATCTAGAAAAAAATACTGAAGGGGAATTCTCAAAATTCCATCAGGATTAGCCGCTCATAAGGACTAAGTTTAATTAGGACAAACCTATATCCAGATGCCTACTGGGTGCACTACAAAAAACCAGCATAATTGTTCTACATTCCCGTGCCAGCAATTACACAAATAACTTTGCAGTAAAATTCGTATAAAAACAAGGGCTGAAATACACAATTGCCTTTGTGCTTTGCAGAAAGTAGTTTGTACTGTAAAATCCTAGATCTTTTAGAAACTTTTATTTCCCTAATCTAAATTAATTCCGCATATGTAACTTTCAGACTATCACCTTAATTTTCACTCAGCTGACAAATATTTCTAGTGACTGCCTAACTACTTATGTATAACTGAATGTTAATTTGGGCTTTCTCGTGAATTGAGTGTTGCAAGTCTTGCCAAAGAAATTTCAGGAAAACCAATAAATTAATCACAATATTAACAAGTTAGACAGGAAAGTGGTGTGACCCCTCTTTAGCATAGAATCTATTAGACAAGAAAGGATTAACGTGTATTTAGTAACAGTATGTTTGTGTAAGCTGTTGTGCTGTATTGCTTACCTTATCTCAAGGAGTAGAGCTTTCAAAATGAGACTTGGCAATATGCAGGTTATATTTGTTGAATATTCATTCAGAATAGAGAAGCCTACTAATGCCTCATTTATATTGTCATTTAAATCTAGTGCCACTTTAGATTAATTATAATCCAAATTACAGCTCTATGCAGTGCAAGAATTAATATGGAATTTATCCAGATTAATATATTTGCATTGAAAATGTAATATGTCTCTGCCATGGCTAAGGGGAGCACTTTTTAATAAGGTAGTAAACATGAGGAAGGATGGAAATTAACCTTCATTATTGCAATGAAAATTATCCTTTCATTCTACTCTAATTAGAAAGGATACTCTACCAGTAATTATAATTTTAGAATTATTTTGAGGCTGAATCTGATCACATCACTGATTTGTCAGAAGTCTTAAATTATGCAATATTTATCAAATACATAGATTCATAAATAAGAAAATAGTATTTTGATAATAGCTTTTCCAGATTTTTTTTTCACTATTATTTTATTAACCATTTCCTCCTTATTAGTCACACAAACATTTTTATATTTATTTTGGGGTTTCAAAAATGTTACGAAGGTGATGACATTTGAATTGCAGTGAATTATGTCGGATTTATATTAGCAATCTTACACAAGTTAAATAATTCTGTAACTGACAGGCAATCATTGACTAGTCTATTTCATGGCACTTATTTATAATTAAACTTAGTTTTTGAGCTAAATGTATTGAAATTACATTATTCATCTAAAATAATGTTGCATATTTTGCATTATAAAATGAATTACAGTTGTATTTTACAATTGGGAAAAACCCACAACAAATAATGTGTCTCAAGAATAAAAAGTGTGTATTTAAAACATGAACAGCAACTAGATTTAGTCTTTTCCTACAACTACCTAGTAAGGATAGCACGTCAGTGGAACATCTAGTTATGAAAACACCATGCAGCATGCTTGGAACCATAATATTTTCTCTCCTCCCTCCCGCCTCCTTCAATACCTTTTCTATAAGACTGTAACTTTATTCAGCCTCCCTACAAGAAGCTCCTTAAATCAGTGAATTCAACACAGAAAGCAGAAAGTTGATAGAGCAAGACGAGGCACTGAGTTGTAACAGCCGGACCATAGCGTAAGGAGCTGGTCCCCTTTGTTTTAGCACATACACTCCGGCTTGGGGGGTTCAGCCCTCACCACGTGCAGGGGTGAGCAGAGTCCCTGTGCCAGAAGGAAGAATCAATCCCCCCTTTTTTTTTTTTTTTGCAAAGCTCACCATAAGTCACGGACTCGGTTATTTTACTATAGGCCAGATGTAATTCAGTCATTTAAGAAGTAACAGTGCTTGGGATTGAATGAATCCAGAGCAACAACAACAACAAAACCAACAAAGCCTCTGTGAATTTCGACAGTTAAAATAAATATCATAGTAAACATAGTAAAAAGCTGTGCTTTGTTATGCATTTATTGACCCCAGCACAGTGTTTTATAACTCTAAGGTTTTATTATATTAACCACAAAAGAAAATTTAACCAACACCCCCCCCTTGTTTTTATAGAAACAAGAACTATGTGTTTCATGATTATTATAGGCCCTTTGAAGTAATTAAGTTATTCCATCCTGTGGTGGAAGATGATGTGTAATATTAACCTTGTGTGTGCCCAGGCGTGCACAGAGTGCACTCCAAGCTAAATTTCACTGGCAGTTAAATACCACTGCCAAAATGCAGTTAAATACATTTTCACAAGTGAATTTTGGAGCAGAATTTGGATCCTAATTTCTGTACCAACCTGTTGAGAACAAACTAGCGTGAGGAGGGGAAGAGAACGTGGAATTTGTTTTATTTTGCCTTTTAAATTCAGCCTCCTGTATAATAGTGTCCATTTACACCAGCTCAGATTCTGGCTTATTTGTCTTTAAAAAGGGACATTTTAGAAGTGACATATGGTAAAGGTAAGAAACAGTAGTCAACTGTTAGACGTCTTTGACAGCTGGAAATGAAGAAAGGTTAATAATTTGAACCTATCCTTCTAAAACTCGAGAAGCAACCTTTCTCTGTTAATACAGTATGTCACTTTTTTACTTCCCATGATTCTCACAGTTAAGACATTTAAATAATAATGGTGTATTGCCAAGTAAATACAGATAGGCCAGGGAGTACTGTCTTATCATAAAACAAACTGAGTAATAAAATGATGCCTGATGTGATTGCATCATGTAGATTTTGCCTTTAAGTGTCACTAGTCCTTCAGGTCGCCGACACAGCGCTGACTGAGCAGACTAAGTGAGGCTTTCAGGAGCAGTTCCTGAGAGCGTCAGAATTCAGTGGGGCTCCAGAAAGCAGCTTGTTCGGGTATTGAACCGATGTTGACAAATTGGTCATTAGAAATAGGGAAATATGGCAGGAATAAACTTTAATTTGAGCAAGAACATGCAAAAATTACTGGTCTAAATTATACCAAAAGAAATAATTAGCAACTTAGGAGTGAAAAGCAACGTGTGGGGAAATCCCCATTGAGGTATAAGTCATAAAATATGTTTACGGGTTGTCTTTTCTTTAAATAACCTTCAGAAAATGTCCCTGTATGAATCAGTTTTCAATTGTTTATTATTGTACCATAAGGATTTGGTATTTACCTTGAAAACTGTTATTTTGCTTCTCTTTAATGTTGCTCTTGTAATATCAAATATTGCACAACGTTTATATGAAAATAACAATACTAATAAAAAGTTCTTGATTTTGCTACAAAAAAATGCAAGTATTTTCTTTGTTCATGTTTACTTTGTTGCCAAAACATCCATGACCTTATTTTTAAATTAATCCTAGGTTATTGTGCAATGAGGTGCAATTTGTTCATTTATATGAACCTTATGTGGATTGAAAAAAATCAAGATAAATCTTCATGCACAGCATACAATCAGATTACCCCTGCACTATATATTTACGTTGGGTCTGATAGCAATCAATGGTTTAGCTTCATTGCATTTCAAGATGTATTTGCACCCAGTGTCCAGTGATAGTGTCCTCACCCTGGAAATAATTTAGTTGCAAATTGACTGGAAGATGGTGAAAATTGAAAGTTAAAATTAGAAATACTCATAATAAACAGCAGAAAAAAGGTCAGATGATGCCGCACTATGATGAGATTGGAATGGTTGGTAAATGAGGTTTTGTGTTTGTCATGAGATGTATGTGACATGCCTACCCAATGCTCTTGTAATATCCAGCCTAGCAGAAGAGATTATCTGGCAAATTGACGCTGGAAAGAATTTTCTGATGGACTGGGAAATTAGAATTGCACTCTTTTCTTTGATGTGTGCAAGACTGGGCTGCATTACACAGCTAGTTCAGGCATAATATTAAATATAGTATTTAATACTTAATAGTAGAACTATCTACAGAAAACAATTATATTCCGGTTTTGATCACAAATGCCAGACTATAAAAATTCACAGTGTAAACATCTAAGGCAATCCCAAATGACTGATCTTTGTATATAATTAATATTAAGTTAGCTCTGAAATCCTATTCTCCTCAGTATTTCTTTTAAAGCCTCACTATATTTAGTTTCAGAATTGTAACCAGGCAGGAGTTGTCAAAACAGCACAATAATCATATCGCTTAGACAGTTTAGAAAAGAGAGAGGGTAATTAAACAGCAGCAAATTAATTATTTTGGGAAACAGGATTTTTAAGCAAAAGCTGATTTGTTTTAATGTAATACATAAATTCATACTGAACTGCTAAAGAAAGAACATTATTGATTAATCTTTAAAGGCAACCTAAGGTTATCTAAACTGTAGAGAAGAGTCCATTTTTAAATGTATTTATAGAGTCTCCATCAAGGATAGAAGTGTATTTTCACCTTTGTGTTTACCAGAGTTGTTTTATTCAACCAAATTTTTTCTCAGAACTTAAAAAAAAAAAAAAAAAACCCAACAAAAAAAAACCCAAAAAAACTCCTCAAAGACAATACAGACCTTTGGAATCACAGCCTTTTTGTAAAGCAGGATGTTTTAAAGTTTAAAATATGTTCTTAAAAATTATGTTTTTGGAACAGGAATAGTCACACCAGAGAAGGAACCAAAAGTGAATACTGTGGTAGGGGCACAACAGCTTCTTCTGGCAAAAGAAGAGGATGATGCAGCTAAAAAATCAAAGCCTCCAGAAGACAATAAATTTTGTCATGAGCAGGTAAAAGAAAATGTTACATTTTAACTGCATTCTAGAACTCTTTCAAATAACTCAAGAATGAAATAGAGATGATATGCTGTTAAAATAGTGATGTCAGCAAGTTATACAAAGCACACTGACTAATAGCCTGCATCTTAATTTGATTTCTTTTTCAGTTCTATCAATGTCCTTATTGTAACTACAATAGTAGGGACCCAAATCGTATCCAGATGCATGTCCTGTCACAGCATTCAATGCAACCTGTTATCTGCTGCCCCCTCTGCCAGGATGTCCTCAGCAACAAAATGCATCTCCAGCTTCATTTGACCCATTTGCACAGTGTGTCCCCTGACTGTGTGGAGAAACTGCTCATGACAGTAAGTGTTCCAAATACTGATGCACATGCTACGGAAACGTACTCGGGCCTGGGCAGTGTATTTGTTGTGACATAGTATTCAGGTAGCCTGAGGAGGTGGGTGGGTCAGGACTGTTAAGGTTCTGTTGCCAGCTCATTCAATGACTGATGTGCCTTGGAAAAACGCCTGAAGGTGGATTTCAAAGGTGCAGAAAACCTGCAGTTCTTCATTGACATCAACGTTGGAAAAATCAAGCCTGTCCACACATCTAAGTGCACACCTGTAAATCAGGACTAATAATATGCAGGTCTCAGAAGTATTGTGACTTTTGCTTGTAAAATAATAGGAATTCCCTGTAGAATGCAGTTCCCAAACAAAGAAGGATTCCTGTGTATAGTTGGGCTGTACTTGTATTATATTACATGAAATTCACTGTAAGATATCAACGGTTGGAGAACATGATTATCTTATAGTACAGAATGTCCTGTTTCTTCCTTTCTGCTTCTGCAAAACAGACCCTTTAGGGTTTTTTTGAATAAGATGTGAGTATGAAACAGAAAGACAAGTGCAAGAATAGGTAGCAATGCAGTTAGGTCAGTTCTTTAGGATATGGAATATCTGATTTCAAGTACCTATCCTGGATCAGGCAGGCACTTGAACTGGCTTCCCCATGATTGGGATGAATGCTATAACCAGCAAACTGTATTTGGAGGATGAATGCCATTCCAATCTTACTAGGAAAATCCCACTCTTCACTGCAAAATTATACAAACCATGTCAAAATAATAAATTTCTATGAAAAATAATGACTCAGCAGCATTCAAAACAATGTCAGAAAAGTCACAATCAGGTCTAGAATGTATTTATTATTACAGCATAGATTCAGTTAGAAAACAGACCTCCTAAGTCACCCTGATTCTGGTTGTCTTGCCTTTTTAGAAGGAAATGCACTTTGAAATCTCAGGGATCTATCTCCTTAAGGATTTATTTCTGTATCCATAGATGACTCCTTTATTTAAATTGTTGTGATTGTAGGCCTAACACCTCATTCCCAAGTAAAGTGGCAAAAAACTAGGAAAGTATTGAAGGAGTTCTTGACTGAAGGTCTAGGGTTCCTTGTGCCTCGTGCTGATAAGCAAATACAGAATTGGGGATTCTTCTTTTCTTTTCCTTGGTTTTCTACTAACTGTAGCTCTGCCAGACCATGTAATTTTGGCCCACCACAAGGAAAATGCAGTAGAATTTTAACTTCCCCAGACCTGTTAAGGAAACTGGAAAAATGTGGAAACTCCCTGCTCCATATTAAGCGGTATTAGCTTTCTTCTCAGGTTCTCCATGATTCCCTTTATGGTGATAATAGGGCAATTTTGAAGTCTCTCCTCTCCTCTCCTC